GCCAGCTGCAGCAGCAGCAGCAGCAGCAGCAAATGCTGCTGCTGCTACTCTTTAGCCAGTGCTTCCGGTTCACCAGCCCCCACCTCAGCAGCATCAGCAGCAGCAGCAGCAGCAGCTTCCCACGCGGGCCCAGGCAGCAGCTGCGGCATTCCCAGAACCCCCTCACCAGCAGCAGCAGCAGTAGCAGCAGCAGCAGCAGCAGCAGCAGCAGCAGCAGCAGCAGCAGCGTGGGTGTGCGTGCAGGTGACCTCGCGCCTCAAAATGCGGCGAAGACCCGAAACCCCTCCCGCAACGCTGCGGCTCGACGGCGAGGGTTTAGACCTTCGAGGGGTTTGGGTAGATGGCCAAGAAATCCCGGGGGGCCCCCACCAGGGGGGCCCCCAGGGGGCCCCCCAGGGGGCCCCCCAGGGGGCCCCCCAGGGGGGCCCCCGGTACAGCGTGGACGAAGAGGGGGCCCTGTACCTTCCTGCTGCAGTGCTGCCAGCAGCAGCGAACGAAAGCTTCGAAGTGAAAACCATTGTGGTTATAAACCCTCGCAGCAACTTGAAACTCTCGGGACTTTACTTGACCAATGGTCTACTTTGCACGCAGTGCGAAGCAGAAGGGTTTAGGAGAATAACCTTTTTCCTGGACAGGCCCGACGTGACCTCAGTCTACAAGGTCAAACCCTAAACCCTCGCAAAGCCTAAACCCTAAACCCTCGCCAGCCCGAAACCTCCGAAACCCGGAACCCTCACGCGCCCTAAACCCTCGAAAACCCTAAACCTCGCGAAACCTAGACCCGCGCAAACAGCTAAACCCTCGCTAACCCTGACCCTCGCAAACCCTAAACCCTCGCAAACCCGAAACCCTCGCTAAACCCTAGAAACCCTCCCCCGACCCCTCACCCATATAAAACCAAAGCCCAAACCCTCAGCCGCCACGAGAGTTTGCAACCCACCCTCCACTCCCCACGGTCCAGGGCTTAGGATTTCCCAGGGTTTAGGGTTAAGGGTTTAGGGTTTAGGGTTTAGGGTTTAGCCCAAACCCTCCGCCGTCATGAGGCTTCACAACCCACCCCGCACTCTCCAGAATTCCGGACTCCGCTCCGCCCCCCCAGGCTTCAGGCTCCAGGGTTTAGGGTCTAGGGTTTAGGGTTTAGGGTTTAGGGTTTAGGGTTTAGGGTTTGCGCAGGTGCGACTGGAGGCGGACAAGGCCCAGTACCCTACTTTGCTCAGCAACGGGGACCGCGTGGAGGGGGGCCCCCTCGAGGGGGCCCCCCATAAACACTTTGCTGTTTTTTTGGACCCTTTTAGGAAACCCTGTTACCTTTTTGCTGTTGTTGCGGGCCCCCTCGAGTGCATTGAAGACACCTTCACCACCATGGTCCCCAAACCCTAAACCCTAAACCCTAAACCCTAGGTCGAGCACTCCAAGAGAGGGGCTACCTGTGTCTGTCTGCCTTTACTACATTATATATATATTTGTCTGTATCTAATATGTGTATATATGTGTATATATATATATATTTGTTCATTTATTTATTATTTTATTTTTTTATTTGTTTATATATTTATTTTTGTATATTTAAATGTATATATTATCTCTTTTTATCTATTTGTATTCATCTGTGTCTATATCGATTTATCTGATAAATATGTATGTGTAAATATATATATATTTATACTCGTATATATTTATATTTATATATAGGCCCCC